CAGCTACGATCTTATTTAGACAAGGCCATAGTCAAAGTGGAAGTTCTCTCCTCCCTTCAGAGAAAGGTACCTCTTTCTTTGATGGCCTGTTCTTTCTGCTGGGATCTCACTCACAGAGATCTTTCATTTAAGTTTTTTTTTTTTTTTTTTGGCCAGAGTGTCTTGGCTTTCCATGCCTGAAATACTCTCGTGGGCTTTTTAGCCGTATCCGAATGCCTTAAGGGCTGATTCTCAGGCCAGAGTGCTGTTTAGGACTTCTGCCATTCTATGAATCTGCTGTGTATCCAGCTTTCCATTTTGGATTGTTCTCTCCTTTTTAATTATATCAGTTGTTATTTTCAGACACTAGTCTTGTTTATGTGATCCCTTTGACACTTAATCCTATCATTTTGATCAATTATGAACTGAAAAGACAAAAGTGTCATTCCAGCCTTTTTTTTTAAGATTTTTTATTTATTTATTTGAGAGGTAGAGTTACAGTGAGAGAAAGAGATATAGAGAAAGGTCTTCCTTCCGTTGGTTCAGTCCCCAGATTGCTGCAATGGCGGGAGGTGGGCTGATCTGAAACCAAGGATATTCTTCACGCTCTCCTACACAGATGCAGGGGCCTGAGGACTTGGGCCATCTTCTAATGCTTTCCTAGGCCATAGCAGAGAGCTGGATTTGAAGAGGAGCAGCCAGGACTAGAACTGGCACCCATATGGGATGCTGGCACTGCAGGTGGAGGATTAACCTACTGAGCCACAGTGCTGGCCCCATTCCAGCCTTCTGAGTTTCTAGTTTTATCATAGGAATAGAAAGAAGTTACCTATTTCACCTGTCTATGAATTTTTTTTTATTATTATGAACAGGCAAGCGGGAGATACAAGTCAGGCCCTCTGCTGGGTTTTGTTCCTGTACTCTGTAAGCTGCTATTCTGCTTGCCCATATTGTGCTTAAAACACACCACTTTGTCTCATTTCTCATGTCTTCTTCTCTTGGAGCCCTGCTTCTGGCTACTGTGCCAGGAAGTTTCTAATTTAAATAAATCCTAAGTTGCTCATTGTCTTGTCTGCATGGAAATTCTTTGTGAGACAAGAACCAAGGTCCTCTACTTCATTGTAGTTTTCAAAGTCACACTGGGAGGCAGCACCTGATGGCTTAAGTGCGTGGGTCCCTGCAACCCATGTGGGAGATCTGGATGGAGGCCATTCTTGTAGCTTCGGCCTGGGCAAGTCACTGCTCCTGCAGGCATTTGGGGAGTGAACCAGCAGATGGCAGATGGAAGATCTTTCTCTCTCTCTCTCTCTCTCTCTCTCTGTCACTCTTTTCAAATAAATAAATATTTTAAACACGTTACACTTTCTGACTTCTGCTAGTCAAACTTAACTAGATTTCCTTCCTCTGAATTCTGCATTTCGGGAAGCAAGTCAGTCCAGGGACGTGAAATACGCAAGACTCCCAAGCTCCATTACTGATTGTAGTACTTACTAGTTACTGTACTTGTACAGATTAATGCCCCGCCTTTCTCATCCTCCCTAGGGGTCTGGTGTCACCTCCTCACAGTGTGACTGTGTGAGATAATCAGATTTGCATAAATGGCCAGGCTGGCAAGTACTTCCTCATGGGGGGCAACTGTTCTGTATGCTGGGGCAGAGTGGGAAGGGAGTGCCTGTTTTCTTTATTCCCATAATAAAATAGGCTGGGGATTCCAGTCCAAGGAAAATACACTTTCCTTCCTGTTATCCTGTTTGTACTGTGTTTTTCATATGCCTTTGTAGGCTACAGTATCTCCCCTGAGATTAATCTCATGTGCTTTTGAACAGCTTGTCCATATCAACAACACAATGCTGAACACAACCAGATGGAATAGCGTCTCCTGACTACCTCCGGACAGACAGCCGAGCTCCCGGCTCCATCACCTGTCCTGGGCTGGATGACTTCTGATAAAATCTTGCAGGATCCTAGGGATCAAAATTTAAAGGTGTTTTGGTAGATCTAAACTTTAAAGATCTCAGGAGATTCAGAACATGTACCAGGCTCTCCCCCTTTGACAGAGCCTTGGGGGTGCCTGGTTAGCGGGAAATCTTTTGGAATCTTCTGGAAATCTTTTGTCTCTTCAAAGGACAGAGGGATCAGGCTGCAATGTCAGAAGCTCAGAGCTTCAACTTTCTCTGATAACGAACACAGTGTATTTCAGTTTAAGAACAGATCCCCTCTCATTATCTGTAATTAATGAATAAAAATATTTATCTTGATGTAGTTAAGCTTGACCTTAATTTTGTTGGTTATTCAGGACATAAAATGCAAAAAAGAAGTTAAGATACTCCTCATTTTGAAAAAAGAAAAAAAATACTTAAATATATTAAATATGAAGTTTTAAATTGTATTTAGGGGGCATAAGTGAATACAGAACAGAAGACATCCAAATTGTAAATCACACTGGCTCAGCCTCAAGGGGGTGATGTTTTTATATAATTTTTACTTTCACATCCCTGAGGTTAAATTCAGAACAAAGGTCAATTTAAAATATAAACCACAGTATTTTTAGTACTAAGAAAGAAGTATTTTTTTAAAGATGTAGTTTTTTTCCCCAAATATTATCATTAATAACATATTAACTAAATTTAAGAACCCTACATAAATAATGATTTAGACTCCAACGTGAATATTCATGATGGATTCATATGTCAACAGAGAACCCACTAAGACCATGAAGACAGCAATTTTATCTGAAAGGGACATAGGAGAAAACATGTTAGCAATAGCACAAAGAACATTCTCATATGGTGCAATTTGACAAATACTTAAAATGATGTGGGAAGCACAGCCATTGAGCCCACTTTTATATTTTGGCAAGTAGCAAATGAATACAAAATCATTTTCAAATAATACTGTAAGAATCGTTATAGGCCAAAGAAGTCATTCTTGTATCTCTCAGCTGAAAATAAGCTAAAACAATGATTCCTTGTTATTTTATTGAAGTCAGAAAGGGAATTGTGCATTTGTTTCTGTCAAAATTACGTAGCTGAGGGACACATAGTCTGTACAGCTCTGTGAATAATCAATATTTATCCGATCATCAGTGTCCAAATGTCTTATTTTTCTTTCACTTGGATGTTGCACTGAGTTTATGTTATAGGATAAGCTACAAGAGGAGGTTGCGATATTTAACCTGCTTGTGGTGAGCAGGCTTCACTCTACTTAGACCTTCCATTAACTAGGTGCTTTTCTATTGTCTTTGGTTTCAGAAAAACAGATTTCAAAATAAGATACTTTCTAAACATCTCCAAACAAAGCTGTCACTGAATTTATAATATGGATTAAATAACTGCGTGTGGGATGTGGGCAAACTGAAGAAGTGGGGGCTTAGGTGTGAGTAAATGAAGATCTGTGCATCTGATGCACTTTCTTTCATTGGATATATACCTTCTTAATGAATTGGAAATCCAATATAGTTTTTTTATACATTCATACTTTTATATGTTTAAATAGCCTATTTATACATATAAGTATTCAAACATTGTTGTAGATATATAATACATACACACATTCATGATTATGGAAATATATCGTGCAAGATTACGTGGCTAACATTTATAATAACTCATATTTTGTTTGGGGAATGCATTCAATACTTCACACACATTATCCCATCTGAGTCTTTGAATGACCCTCTAAGGTAGATCTCAATATTTTCTGTTTTTATTAGCTTAAGAAATTTAGGCCCAGGGAAGTTATTTTGTTTATTGAATATTATGCCACAAAGAAATGGCAGAGCAAGTCTTAGAATCTGTACAGCTCTACATATGTGGCCTGAATTCTTATGTGGTTATTGAGAACAGTACTGACTTAAATCTGTTCTCATTGAAACCACACGAGATACAGAATATACAACTGAGGTCTGTTATGGAAGGATAACTCAATACATTTTTCTCAAATACAAGACTAAGTGCTAAACCTTACAAGGGTAAATATTAATGATAAAGATTCTGTGTGAGTTGTCACCTCACATCTAAAACTTAACACCTCTCCCTGTGTCCTTTGTGTTGATGACGTTAATGTCACATTTTCTTACTCCCTTGTGTGTGAAAATGCTGTGACCCATAACTCCGATGAGCACAGGTCACCATAACAAGTTTCAGATGCAATGAAAGTGAACATGACCTTAAATATCATCATTAAAATAATAATTGTCAAAGACTAATATACATGGTCAGCTTTATTGAGATACGAGTAATCTGAAGATAATTTGTGCAAATTTTAGGCTATTTTTTGCTATCTTTATCAACTATGACACATCAGTTGAGGCTTTCTTTCTTTCTTTCTTTTTTTTTTAATCTTCAGTGTGGTGTTACAGAGCCACTTCCAGCAACAAACTGAATGTTGTTGGTCATCCTGTGGCCACCTGACATGGACCAATTCAACTGCACTCACAAACAAGGATATGTGCATAGATGAGGAAATAAAATGATTGCTTTGGTTCTTTTCCCAACCATCTTGGCAAAGAAATTTTTCATACCCCAAAGCTCCACATCTGCAATTGCAAAATAATTAATTTGTTGCCAAGCCATTGTGCATATTCTAGGACAGCAGCCAAAATCTAATACTGGCATCATTAAGAGAAAAATATCGTAATGTTAAATACTGTATTTCCCTGCTTCATGTTGCCAATCATTGATGTCACTGGTATCCTGTTCTTTAGGAAACTTAATTAAATTCTTTCATTCAGATAATCAACATTTGTGCTTCCAACCACTCTTTAAATAGAGTCTTTCTTTGTCTGGCAGCTGTGAGAACTTTTTACCCCATCCCCGCACAGAAACAGAGAAAAAAGTTCATTTACCACTTAGATCATGAAATCCTGGTTGAGATGCCATTCATTGGCATGGTGCAGTTTTAACAGGAAAGCTTAATCCTGAGATGTATTTGAGCCAAGTGGGTATTTGAATCAATGAAGTTGGGTAAAAATGAATTAACTGTCTCAACTGACCACACTGAAACGGCATTCTCTCTTCCAGATACAGTAGCATGTTTTGAAAATGTGAAGATACATCAAATCAGATTGTATGATCATCCACTTATGATTATGGTTAATTTAAAAGAGGAATTTTAACTATAAGCAGATGGTCACATGAATCAGACGTTTGTTAATTTTGCAGTATCTTGGTAAAAAGATTATATATGTGTATTGTTCAAGGTAAGATTTTTTTACTTTTAATTTTTTTTGACTAGCATATTCAGCCTATACAACGCCACAGTCAGCACAAAGCTGACAAAGCTATCATCAGTCATACTATCCCCGCTCAAATATGCACACACATTCTTTTAAGCCATTTAAAAAACTCCCATTTTTATGTTATATTTAGATTATTACACATGTATTTTTCCCAACCATCATAAACACCCCTAATATTAATTGCATATTTTGAGACTTTGGATGAATTTTAGCAAAGAAAAAATGAAAATGTATAAATGCTTATGGAAATGTTAATCTTTTAGCCTGGAATGGATTGAGAAATTAGGAGAAAATTTAAAGCTACACATTTGCTGTTGTTGTCCTGCTTATTGTATGTATAAGAGATCTGAAAACAAGAGGCAGGCTCTAGAAAAACACATTTATAAAATTCATTGTCACTAAAGTGGCAAAGTCGAAGACCAGTTACCTTACAGGTCTTTCACATTTTCCATACTCTGTGTAGTAGAAACACTGAAGAATTGAGATATGTGGGTTAATGAGGAAACATCTGTACACAGTGATTTAAGGAAAAGCATGCCCTTCAAACACCTTTTATTTTTTGGATGGAATTATTTTATATTAACACAAGCTGGATTGGCCCCAGCTTTCAAGTTTTTGCTTTGTATGGGCAAACAGTCTCTTGGTTGGAGGATTCTGTCCTCCCAGACAGATCCAGATCTTTTTAGAATCCAGCTGAGTCGGGCTTCACCCTGCTGACCTCTCAAAGGCAAATAGCACCCAGCTCTGCTTACCTATCTTTGACAACGTACTTTTATTTATTTTTATTTTTATTTTTTAATTTTTGACAGGCAGAGTGGACAGTGAGAGAGAGAGAGACAGAGAGAAAGGTCTTCCTTTTGCCGTTGGTTCACCCTCCAATGGCTGCTGTGGCTGGCGCACTACACTGATCTGAAGCCAGGAGCCAGGTGCTTCCCCTGGTCTCCCATGGGGTGCAGGGCCCAAGCACTTGGGCCATCCTCCACTGCACTCCCTGACCACAGCAGAGAGCTGGCCTGGACGAGGGGCAACCGGGACAGAATCCGGCGCCCCGACAGGACTAGGACCCGGGGTGCCGGCACCGCAAGGCGGAGGATTAGCCTATTGAGCTACGGCACCGGCCGACAACGTACTTTTTAACTGAGAAAGGGAAGTTATGCCTGTGAATACCAAAAACAACACAGTAATACACAGCAAGGCTATGTTGATTATGCCTGCCTGATATCGAAACAGGGCCCATCAAGCAATGAATCCATAAATCTGCTACTTAGTGAAAGCAAAATTCCAATCACTGTGGTTTCATTAATTGGAGTTCAACACATATATGTCTTTGGATCACTTTCAAAGTCATACAAAAAAGTCTTGTTCTGAGAGAACAAACCTAATGCGAATGAATAGAGGAATATTTTTCATGAGTAATGAAATCAGCAGTGCTTTTATTGCTTAATGGAGGTTGTGTATACACTAAAGGAATGCAGTACTGTGCTCTTTCCTATATGCCAGAGGAAACATGATTTTCCAGGACAGTTGCTAAAAATGCAGCATTTTCCTCCTATTTGAAACTTTACCATAGCCCCTCATGGCTATGCACATTTCTCAGATAGCTGCTAAATCCACATGCAATTTGCATGTGAATGCTTGTCATCCTTATATTAGAATTCCTTTCCAAAGATAAGTATCTCGGTCACAGAGTACGTATTTTTGCCACACCTCAGAAATCTTAAGGATGCTTTCAACTCACTGCAAATATATGCAGCCCACACATAATGCATTTCAAAGGCTTGAACAGATTGTGTGCATTGTAAGTAGGACAGAATGCCCTTTGCTGGGACTGGGTAGGCATATGTGAGACTTGAGTCATCCTGAGTCAGATGAGTCACTTTCTCACCACAGTCACTTCAGAATGAGAGGCCTCCCATCTGCAGGGGAGCACGGCAGATGAGCTTTTCTGTGGCAGCTTTACAATTCATCACACTGTCCACACTGCACGTGTGAGTCACTCAGTGCTCAGACTCCTATCATTGATTCATTGGTTCTCACCAAACATGAACTCTTCTGATAAATCAGTGATAATTAGAGAGTAAATTGGTGTTGCATTAGACTGAAAAGCCACAATTGCTTGAACTTCATGCTTATCCCTGTTTGATTATTAAATATATGGATAAAATGAAAAGAGAACAAAATCTCCCAGGCGACTTTTCTTTCTGGTCATTTAGGCAAAGACAATCATGATCACACAGTGACTCCAAGCATTTCTCCATCTTCAGCTTGAAGAAATAGAATTACTGTTTTTAAGACGAGAAAGTCTATTTTCCATCCCTCGCATGAGCAGATGAGTTTTATAACAACCACACAAAGCTGGCTGGAACAAAGGAAATGGGAACTCTCTTCTGTGTCTGCCAGGAAATCCTTTGTTGAAGTCATTCTGGATCTCAATTTTTATTCTCATCTCTTGACTTCTGATCATACCCACAACCTTTGCTCTGTGACTTTATATTTTCTTCTACAAGAGGTGCAATGGAGCCCTCCATTTTCTGACTTTGGGACTGGCCTTGTGACTTGGTTTATCTAATGGGACAAGGTGACACACAAAATGTGATTAGGCAGTGGGAACGCCTCTTCTTCCTTCCTCCCTCCCTCCCTCCATCCCTCCCTCCCTCCCTTCCTTCCTTCCTTCCTTTGTTTATTTTAAAGGGGGAGTTATAGAGGCAGAGAGAGGGAGAGAGAGACAGAGAGGGATCTTCCATCTTCTGGTTCACTCTCTAATTGGCCGCAATGACTGGAGTTGTGCCGATCTGAAGCCAGGAGCCAGGAGCTTCTTCCAGGTCTCTCACGAGGGTGCAAGGGCCCAAGGACTCGGGCCATCTTCTACTACTTTCCCAGGCCATAGCAGAGAGCTAGATCAAAAATGGAGCAGCCGGGACTTGAACCCACACCCATTAGGGATGCCGGCACTGTACGTGGCGGCTTTACCAGCTGCACCACAGCACGGGCCCTAGGAACGCCCCTTTCACCTCTAATGTCTCCAGAAGAAGATAGCGGAGTCCTAGCAGGGATACAGGTGGAGAAGAGCAAAACCCAGTCCACCATGAGAAACCAAGTCCACTGTAACCCTCAGAGTCCAGCATAGTATTGTAGTAATATAGTGTTAGTGCTGCTTTGCTGGATGAGCCAACTTGATGTCAACTGGAGGAGCTGTGAGAAATAAACTCTTGTACTCCCCCCAAGATTTCGTGATTGTTTCTCACAAAGCAATAACTGATGGAATGCTGATGACTCCAAAATGTATTTCTTTACATCTGACTTTTCTCTCCACTCAGACTGTCTAGTCAGCACTTGTAAAATTCCCACCTTATCACATCCAGTGCTGAAATCCAGATTTTCTTCCTCAAACCTGCTCCTCGTAGTCTTTGTCTTCCAGTGAGTGGCACTGGACACAAAGGAAACATACATTCTTTTTTTTTTTAAATTATTTCCTTTCTCTCATTCTCTACTTCCAATCTGTCATTAAGTCCTGTCAGCTTTATCTTCAAGATTTAACCCATTTTCATCATTTTTGTGGCTATTACTTGTGTCCAACTGATGTCCTTTCTTCCACGGACTTCAACAGTCTCCTGACTGGACTCCCTGCTTCTGTTTCTACCCTGAAAACTCTGGTCTTAATGCAGGAGTCAGGAGGCCCAGTTCAATCAGGTCACTTCTGTACCTGAACCCCTAGATGACATTCCATCTGAGTTGGAGTACAAGCCACATCTTGACAGCGGCCCTTCACACCCTCCATCCTTGCCTGGAAACCCCATGGCTTGTCTTCTCTCCCATTGGCTCTGCCCACTCTGACTCTTCCTTCTCCCCTCCAGTGACGAGGCCCATGCTTGGCTGAGGGCTGTGGAGCCTGCACTCACCATGGCTGGAAGGCTTTTCGCCACATGTAGAGTCACTTTCTTTCATACTCTATCCAAATACCCTCTTCTCGAAGTGGAGACCGAAGCTTTTCCCAGCTGACTCATTTACAAATAACTATAGCACCTACTCCTCTCTTTCTCCCACAGGCTCTCTGTTCACCTCTCTGGCTTCCATCTTCCCCACAGCTCTTGTGTATTTCACTTTCCTACCTTATCTGTTAGCCATTTCCCCACACAGTGGATACCCCTAAGAGCATGGACTGGTCTCTCGCTCACAGTTGTATCCCCAGGAGCTCAGAATGGTTCCTGGCAACACAGCTGGCATTCACAGAAAGAAATAAACTCTGATGAAGGGATAAATGGCAATAATTAAAAAATATTTAAAATGTAGACCTCTTTTGATCAAGCAATGCCATTTTCAAAACCCCAACAGATGAGAGATTATACAGATTTATATGTATATCCATAGATGTATTTATCACAGATTTATTTATAAAAATAAACCAAGTGAAAATTGCTTATAAAATTATATAGTGAAATAATATTATACCCCAAAATGCATACAAAACATGTAAACCAATATTTAATCACATGGGATAGAAATGCTCATATGGAAATAATTCATACTGTAAAACCATTTTTAGACTAACAGCTCATTTTTTTAAAGTGCTAGATAATTGATGATGAATTGAAAGATAAATAAGTGGACCTCAAAATTCAATCACTAAATCTTTGGGTAAGCATGATAGAAAAAAACTGATTTTTTGAGAATTTTTGAATTGTTCGTGATGAAAGAGTTTACTTAATCAGAAAAAAAGTCTGAATGCATAGCCATTTCGAGAAGCAAAAAAGAAAAAAAAATTGCTCTCTTCATCCAAACCGTAGCTTTATCCAAACCATAGCAAGCCAGGGCAGCTGGGATTCCTGCATCCCGTATTAGAGTGCCTGGAGTTGAGTCCCTGGCTTTGCTCTTATTCCAGCTTCCTGCTAATGTGCACCCTGGAAGGTAGCAGCTGACTGTCCAAGTACTTCTGTGCCTGCCACCCAGATCAGGTTCTGGGCGGACCCTGGATGTTTCAGGCATTGGGAAAGTGAACAGCAGATGGAGACCTCTCTTTCTCTGTCTCTGTCTTTTTAAAAAATAAAAATAAATTTTAAAAAGAAAAAAAATTTTGAGCAACAAACATAGTCACTACTGTAAGCTCTACCTTCATGCTGCCTAAGATTTCATAAGAAAGTTTGATGGTAAGGCAGCACTAGGCTGTACAGAGCACAATCCCTTACATGACAATCTCTTTCTCTCAAGTCAATTATGTCCCTTCCACCCACTCCTTATAAATAACTCCATTAAAGACACTTAAACTGGCTGCAGAGTGGGCATACACAGGGCCTGGAAAAGTCCACATGAGCTTGTTCCTGATTCAGGTCTCCAACAGCTGAGCTGAGATACCCTGGCTCCCATGGTGATTTTGAACAGAACAGTGATTCAAATTCTTTTTACTCCAAGTTAAAAATTGTTAGATTTCTATCTCAGAGTAAATCATTGCTTGCAAACATAAGAAACATTAATATTAGGGCTAGTGTTTTGATACAGTGGGTTAACCTGCAGCTTAGCACACTGCCATTCCCATATCAGAGCACTGGTTAGAATCCCAGATACTGGTTAGCTCCCAGCTAATGCACCTGAGAGGGCAGCAGAGATGGCCCAAGTAACTGAGTTCCTGCCATCCAGATGAGAGACCCAGATGGAGTTCCAGTCTCCTTGTTCCAGCCCTGCCTGTTGCAGCCATTTGAAGAATGAACCAGTGGGTAGAAGATCTCGCTTTCTCCTCCTGTCTCTTCATCTCTCTGATGGACTGCCTTTCAATTAAATAAAACTTAAAAAAAAGAAATATTAGCATTTAAATGCAAATTAATGGCAAAGATGAAATTTATAATTCTACTTTTCTCCTATTTCTTTCCTCCATATCCACAATTTCCAGTTGCCACACCAACTTTCTTACATAGCTTTATTATTCAAAATACAGTTTAAGACGAGGACAACAGAAAGTGTTATATTCATTTGAGTTTTAAATTTGTTGGAAAAACATTTTATTCTCACTCAGAATGTGTTATCTGTGTTTTCCATTACCCTGAATGTTTTTCTTGTATCCTTTTATTTACAAATAAACCAGGAAATTACAAAAATTTTATTTATTAAGTGCAAAATGCAAGAATTACAAATATTGTTTCATTAAATCCATTTTTTGAATATTTTTATATTCATTTTTAAATTCATGTTGCATTTTAATATACAGTCATTTATTTGAACATAATAAGAAAATGCTCTTTTTTGAAAAAAAGATTCATTTATTAGTTTGAAAGGTCGAGTTACAGAGAGGGAGAGAGGCAGAGGAAGAGAGAGAGAAGTCTCTCATCCAGTGGTTCACTCCCCAAATGACTGCAACAGTCAGGTCTGGGCCAGGCAGAAGCCAAGAGCCAGGGACTTCTTCTAGATCTCCAATATAGGTGCAGGTACCCATGCACTTCGGCCATCTTCCGCTGCTTTCCCAGTTGCATTAGCAGGTAGCTGGGTCAGATGTGGAGCACCTGGGACTTGAACCAGTGCCCATATGGTAGGCTGGAGCTTCTGGTGGCAGCTGAACATGCTATGCCATAGCACTAGTCTCAGAACAATGATCTAAAGAGTTTGCTCAGAAATCATGGTAAATAATAAAATGACTAAATAGATGTAAGATTTTCATTAAATCTAGTAAAAATGAATTTAAACATCCTATTTGATAACGTGAAGATTATTTTCAAATGTTAAAGAAAGGTTTTTATTATACAGATGATTAAAATCAAATAAGTTTTTAAATCCCTAAAAAGAAGGGAAAACATAGCTCTGAAACCTTATTATTTTTTATTTTTTTTTTATTTTTTATTTTTTTGGACAGGCAGAGTGGACAGTGAGAGAGAGAGACAGAGAGAAAGGTCTTCCTTTTGCCGTTGGTTCACCCTCCAATGGCCGCCGCGGCCAGCGCGATGTGGCCGGCGCACCGCGCTGATCCGATGGCAGGAGCCAGGAGCCAGGTGCTTTTCCTGGTCTCCCATGGGGTGCAGGGCCCAAGCACCTGGGCCATCCTCCACTGCACTCCCTGGCCACAGCAGAGGGCTGGCCTGGAAGAGGGGCAACCGGGACAGAATCCGGCGCCCCGACCGGGACTAGAACCCGGTGTGCCGGCGCCGCTAGGCGGAGGATTAGCCTAGTGAGCCACGGCGCCGGCCTGAAACCTTATTCTTAACAAAACAAAACAGAAACAGTGCCCTCTGGGAAGACAGAAGAAATGAAAATCTGGGGAATTGGTGGAAGGCCAGGAGGCAGGGCTAATCTGGGAGCTGAGAATTCACACTCTGTTTCTTTAAGGCCTAGGTGCACTGAGGCCTGGTCCAGCCACACAAAGAAGGGGAGAGAAAATGAAGGCAGTCAGTGACCTGCAAATTACTTGGACACCTAGAGTCCCACTATTTCACTTTAGGTAGGAAAAAAAAATAGAAGACAAACAGAGAAAGAAAAAGCAAGACAGCAGAAAACAAGCAAACAAGCAAGCCAAGAAAAAAAAGTATTTATTTATTTATTTTTATTATTTGACAGAGTTAGAGAGAGAGAGAGAGAGAGATCTTCCTTTTTACGTTGGTTCACTCCCCAAATGGCCGCTATGGCTGGCACTGCACTGATCTGAAGCCAGGAGCCAGGTGCTTCCTCCTGGTCTCCCATGCGGGTACAGGGCCCAAGCATTTGGGCCATCCTCCACTGCCTTAGTTTTTGCCACAGTGTCTTGACTTTCCCTGCCTGAAATGCTCACCTGGGCTTTTCAGTCAAACCAGAATGCCTTAAGGGTTGATTCTGAGAACAGAGTGCTACTTAAGGCAATTGCTGAGTAAAAGTATATGGACGCCCCCCCCCCCCTTTTTTTTTGACAGGCAGAGTTAGAGAGAAAGAGAGAAAGGTCTTCCTTTTTCCATTGGTTCACCCCCTAAATGGCTGTTACGGCCGGCGCGCTGCACCAATCCGAAGCCAGGAGCCAGGTGCTTCCTACTGGTCTCCCATGTGGGTGCAGGGCCCAAGCCCTTGAGCCATCCTCCAGTGCCTTCCTGGGCCACAGCAGAGAGCGGGACTGGAAGAGGAGCAACCAGGACTAGACCCTGGAGCCCATATGGGATGCTGGTGCAGCAGGTGGAGGAGTAACCAAGTGAGCCACAGGTGCTGGCCCCGTATTTATTTTTTATAAATTATTTTCCCAAGGGTGGAGAAGGCGGAGGAAGAAAGGGACACTAGGTTTGTTTGGGTGTCAAATGGCATCTTGTGCAATTTCACTTAGAGAGCCTGTGTTTTGGATACCCACAAAGAGCGTGATCCTGTCCTGAGGATTTGGGCTCTCACAAACGGGCAGAAGAAAATAAACCAGGGATCAAATTAGGTGTCCCTGCTCCTCCTAGGAAATTCAAAACAGCCATAGGAAGCCCGACAGCCGCGGGTGGCTGCGAGCCGCCCGGAAGTGGTGTTCAAAGCAGCCTCTCCTTTCTCCCTTTGTGCTCCATCAGCAGCAAATTGACAAGCCTGCTCTCCCAATACCCCCACGTTCTAGGGCCTGACCTAACCTGCATGTTCCAGAGAAGGCTGCTGGGGCTCCCACACCAAGGAAAGGACAAGGACATCCCGGACAGGAGGTTGTGGATCTCATCGGAATAATCAGATAAGTCACATACGAGGTAATCTCTGCAAGTGTTACTAGCTGATTCAATTTCCAGAACTTCAGATGTTGTCCTTTAATGTCTATTTCGTGACTCTATAAAAAATGGACTGGAGAGAAAAAACAAACATGAAAGCAGATTCTGAGATATCTGTGTTGTGTGCAGTTCATGATGTTTAGTGAGCAACAGTCTGAAGATGGAAATTGAGTCAAAGATGAATGATTCAACTTGGCCATGCTTCTTTAGAGTGCTTCCAAATAAAACAGCAGCTATAAGGCAAACATGTTTCTGCTTTAATCTTATTTTAAAATATCTTTCCACTTTCCTTGCATAATGATGATACACAAATTTTAGATGAATTAGATGTTTTTCCAATCATGTAAGCGACTGTTGGTATTATGATCACTGTCAAAGCTTTTACAGTTACTCTTGAAGACTTGCTTTACCAACATGTAAGTTTAGTGCATTGAGTGGGAATTGGGAACTTGCATTTTTCTTCCTTCAGGGTGCAAAAATTTCCATCACTGTGAAGGGTAATCCATGCAGTTTGGACTCTGCTCCATGACTGTGATTTGCATGTTGTAGAGAAGGAGCCAAGCTTGGGTTTCTGGGAGCTGGACTTCCACTGCTCCAGCAAATTCACTCAGTAACACCTGTTCCCAGCTCTACGATGAAGCTTCACGTTGCACTCCTCAAGAGTTCTAGAAACTGCAACTGAAAAACAAGAAAGGAAGAAGACATCTTCCTAGACACTTGAAGCAGGTTATTTTTCACATCCTTTTAAAAACTATATGACTATATCAAATGCTAGATAATAAAGAATGACCCATGAACAATGCAAAACCAAAACATTAAACTCATGGGAAAATGGAATTAACTTTGGGACAAAACATTTTTTTTGAATTAGTATAGACCTTTTTTTATAACATGTCTTTTCTATGAACTTTGTGAAGACGTCATGTACTTGAAGCTGTAGAGGTGTCATGGATACTACTGCAGTTCTATATTGCAGAGTTGAACAGGCTGCTTTTGTCCTTGACATGAAACACAGGTTGTCTTCCGGTTCTACAACTGTTTTCTTTCTTTCTATTCATGGGTTTCCTATTACCTGATATGCTATTGTGTTACTGTTAGTAACACATGCTTCTTTGTACCAGAGAGCCATCCACAAAATAAGCAGCCTGTTATCCAGCCATCACAAAGCCTGCTTGTAGAGCTAAGTACATTCCTTCCCAAAACATGGGGATTTTATCAGGCTAGTTAAGTGAGAAATGAAATATGGGGAGAAAAAAAGAATGATCATCTTGGGATCCTTGCATTCCTTGAATATCAACAGTCCTTGTCTCTCCCCGTGTCATTCAGGAACACTTTTCCTTTGATCATTTTAATTTCTGAATATTCTGAGCAAAAGCATTAGAAAAGTGGAACAAAAGGGAGGGGTGGTGCAGAAGATACAGAGTCTTTATTCCTAGATTTCAGTTGGAAAAATAATAGCCCTTTTATGCACCTGTGTAAGATTTTTTTTCATTTTTTTTAAAATATTATTTAAAAGGCAGAGAGACAGATACAGACAGACAGAAATTTTATATCCACCAGTTCACTCCCTAAATGCCTGCAACAGCCAATGCTGGGTCAGGCCAAAGCCAGGAGTCAAGAACTCCATCCAGCTGTCCCATGTCAGCAGCAGGGATCCAACTACTTGAGCCATCACCTATTGCCTCCCAAGTGCACTTTAGAAGGAGGTTGAAACTGGAAGTGGAGCTGGAACTCAAACCCAGGCATTCCGATGTGGGTCTTAAATGTTGCATCTGTCTTAAATGCAGTCTTAAATGTCTTCAAAGCACTGTCCTAAATGCTGCATCACATGGCAGCTCCTTACCAAAAAAATAATTTTTCAGATAGTGAACTTCGAAAGTTGAAGTGTTTATAATAAAGTGGAATGATAATTAGTACAATGAGGAAGGCTTAAGGCTACTTTTTTTTTTTTAAGATTCGTTTATTTATTTGAAAAGCAGAGTTACAGAGAGGCAGAAGAGAGAGAGAATCTTCCATCCACTGGTTCACTCCACAAATGGCCACACGGTCAGGGTCAGAGCTGCACCAATCCGAAACTAAGAGCCAGGAGATTCCTCTGGGTCTCCCATGCGGGTGCAGGACCCAAGTACTTGGGTCATCTTCTACTGCTTTCCCAGGCCATAGCAGAGAGCTGCATCAGAAGTGGAGCAGCTGGGACTCAAACCTGTGCCCATATGGGATGCCGGTGCTGCAGGTAGCTTTACCTGCTACGCCACAGTGCTGGCTCCCTGAGGCTACATTCTGAAGTTGAACCAATGTTGTACAAGAAAACAAAAACTAAAATGAAAACGATTGTCTTTTGCTGAAAATTTAACAAGATAGACAGCAAAAAGTCATATATATGTTTGCATATACCTCCCTATATATAGAAATATGAAATATACTTAAACTTCCTATAGGTTGTATTCATTTATTTATTTGTTTGTTTTGAAAGTCAGAGTTATAGAGAAAAGAGAGAGAAAGAGAGAAAAATCTTCTATCCACAGGTTCATTCCTCAAATGGCCACTTCAACCAGGGTAGGCCAAGCCGAAGTTCATAACCAAGAACTTTTTCCAGGTCTCCCATGTGGGTAGCAAGGGCCCAAGCACTTGGGCCTCTCTCCACTGCATTTTCCAGGTCATCAGCAGGCGACTGGATTGGAAGTGGAGCAACCAGGACACAAACTGGCATCCATATAGGATGCCATTATTGCAGGTGGTGGCTTTGATTGCCTTGGCATAAAGCCAGCCCCAGATTGTGTTCATTTTGCTAAACACTAGGTCAGTATTTTAATACAGACATTTAGAATGCAGATTTCAATAACAAGAATAGAGTTCAGCATAATTACCATGTCAATCAAGTGTCTGCATTTTTGAACTTCGTATTAGTGCATAATACTGAGTTACCACCTCTACTCACCACCGGGGCTTTCAAAGTGTTGTCAGAGACTTCTGTGGACTCCTGAAACCATTTCAGGGGGCCCATGAAGACAAAACTATTTCATAATAATACAAGATATTATTGTCCATTTTAGACTCATTTTCTGATGAGTGTACAGTGAAATATCCCAGGCTATGTGGTATGTGATTTTGCAACAGACTAAGTGTCAAAGCAGATGCAAGAATATAGCTGTCTTTTCTAAACCAGGCACTAACAAGATTTACAATTAAATAAGGCAATTCTTCCTATTAATTTTTTGCTTTAGAAAACAGCTATTTTTCATGAAATGTGCTATTAACATGTAATGGCTGTATTTTTGCTATTTTAAACCAATAAATAAAAATTTTGATTGCCTCATCTTTGACTTTTAACATGGTAAATACTAGCAGATAGCACTGGGTTTTGGATATGAGTTTTCTCCCAAATTCATTTAAAAGTTTAAGCCTCAATGTATTATGCTAATTGCATTTAAGACAGTGGAAACTTTATCCCACCTTGAGATTCAGAGATGGCACCTCTAGTAAATGATGAGATTGAATTAGGACAGTAGGGTGAGGTCCCCATAACTGAATCCTGACTTCACCTGAAAAGCAGATGCACACTCTGATCTCCTGCCATGTGATGATGCTCTGTGCCACCTTGGGACTTTGTCGGCAGAGCTGTCGTCAGATGCAACCATAGACCTTGTGCCTCTAGAATCATGAGTCAAAATCCTTGTATTTTTACAAGTAATACCAGCCTTCATCAGGTATTCATTATAGGAATGACGTGTTGACTAATACAAGTATTAGCTACATGTGGTACATCTCTTTGGGGTCTTAATTTCATAAGAGTTTTGAGAATTTCTGCTTTAGAACATACTGGATATTTGTGATATTCTTCCTTTGTAAACTTTAAAACTTGAAATTAATTTCAAATGCAGGTACTCATTCTTTGCTTTCCTTTTTGTCTGCTTTATTTACCTGTAGTAATGTGACCACAGCATAAGGGCTCAGTATATACCTATAATTAGTTGATGAGCTCAGCTTCATTTGGCAAAAAATGAAAAACTTCTGCAGTCTATACCAATTTCACCATTTCATTAAATTGTGTCAGTTTTCCTCTAACCATATTTTTCCTGATAATTTGGCAAATTATTCAGAAGATAATACTCTAAGATAATTAGAATTATCTAGTTAAAGATAATTATCTAATTATCTAGTTGAAGATAACGAATGCATTAGGCCTAAATGTATTGATAGTGACTGAGAGAGAACTTGTATCTTTATTTGTTTAATGACTTCCAGTCCTTTCCCCAGGGACATCACAATGCATCTGGAATAAAGATGCCTTGGTAATGTTTAATATTGTCCCACCCAGTACATGAGAATCAGCACTGTTCCCACAATAGGTTCCAGGAGTCAAAAACTCGTATAGATCATTCTGAGTTATTCTTCTGCCATACTGGATCTGACATATTCTCATTTGATTTAAAACCTAAGACATGTAAATTGACATTCAGTAGATGTAGCTTTTCTCAACTAAATTCTCTTGGAATCAGAAATGATAAAAAATGAAGCTGCTCCCCCAGATTCGGATGTAGGTTTTTTCCATCATTAAAAGATTGCTGCTAGCCATGTAATCAGCAAGTTAGTCTCAAGTGTCTCAGAATTTGGAGAAACTGTCTGCTAATTGCAAGCCACTAAGCAAAAGCAAATGCAAAACCAATTAACTTCTGCCTTGACACATTTGTTGGCTAAAAGGTAGGGGTGGGGTAGGGCAGAGGTAACACTGGCCCTCACTAATTTTGATAGATACATTCTTGAGTATTGTAAACTAGAACTCTGTTGGATATGCCAATGAAAAGAGATAGCCAACAAGTCAGCAAGTATGTACAGGACACTGTAACTTTTGTTGTATGGCACAAACCAGTTTCACCAGAGGCTAATTTTGGTATCTGATATAAAGCCAGTACTATCAGACCATTTTCCCGATGCATAATTTGAGCTGACTGTGAGAGTCCATGCAGGAAAATGGAAATCTACTTATCCAATCTAACTGGTCTTAGGAAAGTTACTTAATGACTTTATAAGCAGGAAGTGATTGTAGATGCTACTTATTAGAGTATACATAGGAGATAGTTTTTGATGCTGACATGGTCATTCAAAAGAAATTTCATTGCAAGTTATTGAGACATGGAGACTATTTTGCAAATTAATCTTTGACACTGAAGTTCTTAAATTTCTTCAGAGGCGTATTTAGATCAATTTATTAGATAGCTCTCCTAGACGGGGCCTTTGGGTTAACCTTCATAGACTGTCCCTCAGTTCAGAACCTCCTACTGAAGACCACTGCTGTCAAAACCTGAAACAGTCCTCAGGACATGCTGCTCCACAAAGAGTCTCCAAACACTATTAGAGTATATGGGACCAGATTCCCTGGCTCCAAGTGTTCTTGCCAAAATATGAAACCTGTCTACCCTCATGACAATGAATTCTTTCCCATTCAGCTTTATATCCAATCCTCTTCCAAGGTTACATCATCAAAACCTGTTTCTGCCCATGCTTCCTTGGATCTTGTCAGCACATGCTAAATGAACACTGAGATTCCTTTGGAATATAGCATCTTCCTTGCTGATAAAGGTCTAGTTGTGCTTCTCTGCCCATGTTGTCCTAAGAGTTAATTTTTGCTCTAGGTTTAGGAGAAATGATTGGCAGTGGTGATGAGTCCTGTGGAATGCAGACATCATCTTAGAAGACATCTACTTCAGAAACATTGCACTGTTTTCTGGCTGTGGGAAATGACTTCTTCTGCTAGCCAGGAGGACCTAGGAGACTGGAGAGAGCCCCAGATTTTCATGCTCATTCACTGAAATGTTACCCTCCCAGGTCTCAGAGTTCTGCCCCTTCTTCATCAGGGCCCTGTCTTTGACAGAAGACCTATTGAGCCTGAGGATTTCGTCTCCTTGTAAGTAAATAGCCAAATTCTAGGACCTCATGCTTTGGCCAAGTCTGCACGTGGCTGCAGGCCATAAAAATCTCCTTTATAGCTTGCCACACGGGCCCTCTGACTTTTAAACATGATTCTTAAGTTCTCAATTAACTGTCCCAAACCTTTTTCCTTTCAAAATCTTCTACACAGTTAAAAGCAGTTATTTCATTTTATTATCAGTAATATTATCACTGTCTCCATAATAATGAAGAACTGCAGATTCTGTACTTCTAAATGCTTTCTCTCCACTTGCACTTCTCCCCAGTGAACCAATGAAAGTTGAGGTTACTGTGATGCCATAGCATGCCAGAAGTTAATGTCATACCACTGTCACCAGCATGGGAGCCTCTAGCTTTACATGAGTGAACAACCCATCTTCAAATCTCTTCCTTAAAGTATGCTGTGTGGTACTACCCTTGTTTTCAACAAAACAGCAGCTGGGGCAAGGATTAACAGCTAGTGATTTATTTGAAGCTGAAATCTGAAGAAAACAAAGTAGAGAAATATAGGAAGTAGAAAATGTGATACATGGCCACACAGATTTATGCTCCATGAGATCTTATCAGATAACCCCCTGGCCACATGCAGCAACCTACACAGGTGATAAACAGTGAGACTGCTTCTTGGAGAGTTCCATCAGCTAGAGCAAGTGAAGGATAGTTTATCTGATTCTTCTGGTCTGCTCTCTCTCTCATTGGTCAAATTATCCCCAGTTGGTTTTTGTTAGAGTTTAGGCTGAATAATCCATCCCATTTGAGAGCTAGATGGAGACAAATTCATGCCCTGTCACATGATGTTTAATCCAAGTCTAGGAGCAATGATAGACATTAGATTTAAGATGCTATTGATCTCAGATAGCAAAATCACTTTGACCAGGAAGGAGTTAGTCACACATGCTTATTGAATTGCACCTGAGATTCCAAGGGGCAGTTCAAAAAGGTATATAATATGCACACATGCTACTGAAATTTATGAGTGAAGAATTCAGTAAAAAGAAAACTGCACATAGAAGGAAACACTTCCATAATTAATATTTGGTACTATTCATAATCTCAAGGTGTATAAAACACTTGATACCAGCCATCAAATTCTTCAGCATGTCTGGGAAAGTTGAAAAGCAGAAGGCTGTGTAGTTAGGTTTCCTGTCCACGCTGTAGGTTAGAGGGAAAGAGTGATATACTTGTAATTAAAGGCTACAGATTATGTTACAGAGCAATGAAGAAGAAAGAAAAATGCCTGGAAGTACAGCCTCTCAGTTTGAAGTCATTCGAGATCTGACTGTCCAGCTACTAAGTTCCTCCACCCCAGCCCATAGTCAAATTACTAACAGGTAGGTAAGAGAAGGGTTTTCTCAGGGCAGTTAGAAGGAGGAAACAGAGTAGAAAAATGAAAGAAGCTGCTAGTAAAACTGTGTTCATGGATCATTGCTGTACTTTTCAAGTTTTATGTGCATTCAAAGAAGCTAAGGATCTTATTATTAAAGAACAGATTCAGATTCTATAGTCTTTTGGGTACAAGTCTGAGATTCTGTTTCCAAAACTTTTCCAGGCGATGCCAACTGTGCCAGTTAGTGGATCACACTTTGACATACTATAGAATATCATATAGTATCATTGACTAATGTAGGTTATACGTAACACCACAGTGGGAGCCTGAGAGTGCCTTAACAGGAGCAAGTGCTGTTTTGTAGTTTGATAATGTGCAGGTTTTTGAAGTAGCATCACAAAATAGTCAAACTCTATCTGTTACAAAGATGCAGGTGAGAGACACAGGGGAATAAATCATACACAACAGAAACAACTGTCTATGCCGTGAAAAAGGCAAGAAGGGACTGGCATTGTGTTGCAGCTGGTTAAGCTGCCACCTGCAACACTGGTATCCAATATTGGTGTGCCAGTTCAAGCCTTGACTGCTCCACTTCCCATCCACTGCACCTGGGAAAGCAGTGGAGGATGGGCCAAGTACCTGGGTCCCTGCCACCCAAGTGGGAAAACTGGATGGAGTTCTGGACACCTGGCTTCATTGCAGCCATTTAGGGAGTGAACCAGCAGATGCAAGATTTCTCTCTGTCTCTCCTTCTCTGTTACTTTGCCTTTAAAGCAAATAAAATAAATCTTTTTTATTTTTTTTAAGCAAGACAGGGAATTTAGGAAAAGTCAGGAAATAATGTAGGAGCTTGATGAATGAGTTGAAGTTAGCACTATTAGATCTGTGATAAATGGAAACAGACCATATCTCCGATGGTTGCATGAAAGGGAAGGCAGAGATGAAAATAGCAAAGGAATATGGATCTCAGACTTCTGGATGATTGATCAAAAGTGACCATAGTTCTAAAGATCACTTAAATATAGAAACAGTTCTTTATCCAATTCCCACAGGTAAAAAGTTTAGGATTGTGTGGCTTGAATGCAATAGTTGGACTCTCTCTTTGGTTTGCTAGAATTTCCTAACAGCCTAGAGACCTTCAGAGAAGACAGACAACATTAAATTGTAAGCATAAGTCCAGAAAAATGAAGGGGGACTGGGGAAAAGCGGGTTAATGTTGATCAAGGCCAACCTTTTCTCCCTTGAAACATTTGCCTAGTCCTACTTTGGTACAGAAGTCTGTCTGAAAATATGAGTAAAATGGACACAACTCCATTCTTCACCATTCTTTGGGAGCAAACTCAAAGGGATACACTAAGTCACCCCCAGAAAGTGGTTCCTAACTTCCTAAAGCTTAAATAATAAAGAATCGAGGGAAAGTTGTGAGCTGACATTAAGACTTTTTTCTTCCACAGAGACAAAACGTGTTCTTAAAATGGTTCTTAAGACCCGCAACAGGGCCTGGTGTTGTGGTGTAGCAGGTTAAGCCACCACCTGCAGCACATCCCATATGGGCAATGGTTCATGTCCCAGCTGCTCTACTTCTAGTCGAGCTTCCTGTTAATATGCCTGGGAAAGCAGAGGAAGATGGCCTAATTGCTAGGGTCACTGCACTCACATGGAGACCAGAAAGAAACTCCTGGCTTTGGTCTGGCCCAGCCCCAGCCATTATGGCCATTTGGGGAGTGAGCCAGCAGATGGATGACCTCTCTTACTGTCTGTCCCTCTCTCTCACTCGTTAACTCTGCTTTTCAAATAAATAAAATAATTCTTTTATTTTTTCAAAAAGACCCACAACAGCCAAGACACTTGGTAAAGGTCTTCAACATTGCAAAATTTAATAGAGACTTGTACAATCATATTAATAATCTTCTAATAAAAATCATAAACCAAATACTTCTCCCACTTTGCAGATGAGTCTTGCTAAAATTTCCAGAAAATCTTTTGAAAGCATTTTATAGTTAGTGAAAATGTCTTGAATAAAAACCATTGTGAATTTAATAACCATAAGATAAAAACATCAAAATCTATGCTTCTAAACCAGAAAAGTCTCTTCTGATTGCAACTGTTCTACTGATTCTTATTATTTGAGAGAAAGAGGCAGAGCTAGATGATCAAAGTCTTCCCATCTGTTTGTTCATTTGTTAATTCCTTAAATGCAGGATTCATCCCTGGGTTACAAGAATAGTTCCTCTCACACAGATCAATAAATGTTATTCACTACATTTATAGCATGAAGTATAAATCACTTGATCATCTGAATAAACCCAGAAAAAACACATGATAAAATTCAAACTTTTCATGATAAAAATCTTCAACAAACTATGTGTAGAAGGAATTTACCTCAACATAATGAAGGCCATATGTAAAAAGCTCATAGCTAATATCATACTCAATGGTTGAAATCAAATCTTTTTTTAAAGATAATGAACAAGCTAAGGATATCCACTCTTGCAACATCCATTCAATGTAATGATAGAAGTCTTAGCCACAGCAAGTAAACAAGAAAAAAAAATCCAAAGAGGAAAGCAAGGGCTATAAATATTCTGTTAGCAAAAGATTGAACCTTCTTGTAGAAATCTCTCAAGACTACACACAAGTAGAAATTAAAAATGAATTCAACAAAGTTTCTTGATACAAACCAACACACAGAAATCAGTTGCATTTGTTTTTTAAAAATGTTTTTTCTACTTACTTATCTGAAAGAGTTACAGAGAAAGATGGAAAGACAGAGACAGAGAGAGAAAGAGAAAGAGACCTCCCAACTGCTTATTCACTTCCCAAATGGCCTCAATGGCTGGGGCTGGGTCAGGCTGAAGGCAAGAGCCTGGAACTCCATCTGTGTCTCCTATGTAGGTTGCAGGGACCCAAATACTTGGAACACCTGCTGTTGCTTTCCCAGGCAAAGTGGAACAGCTGGGATTTGAACCGGAGTTCATAAAGGATGGCTACATTGCAGGTGATGGCTTAGCCCACTGCACCACATTGCAGACCCCACTCAACTCACCCACATGGGAAATCTGCATTGCCCCTGGCTCTGGCACAGACCCAACCCTAATCATTTTGGAAATTTGGGGAGTGAAGTAGTGAACTAGAACTCTTTGCCTAGCTACTTCTCCGTGTCTCTCTTTCTCTGTGTCTGTCTCTCACTCTCCATCTATCTCTGTCACTGTGTCTTTCAAATAAATAAATACAGCTCTTAAAAAAGATATTACACAAGAAGAAATCTGTAGGTTGTATAAAAATTTACATCATTTGGGGACAGCGTTGTGACGTAGAGGATTAAGCCTCTGCCTGCAGCACAGGCATCTCATATGGGCACCAATTCAAGTCCCAGCTGCTCCACTTGCAATCCAGTTCCCTGCTAATGTGCCTGGGAAAGCAGTGGAGGATGGCCCAAGTCTTTGGGCCCCTTCACCATGTGGGAGACTGGAAGAAGCCCCAGGTTCCTAGCTTCAGCTGTCATAGCCATTTGGGGAGTGAACCAATGGATCAAAGATATTTCTCTCTCTCTCCCCTTCTCTTTCTGTATAACTTTCAAATAAATAAATGAGTCTTTAAAAAAATAAAAATAAATTAAGTCATTTTATAAGAGGCTTGACTGAGTATCTCTAGATTTTATTATCCGGAGTGGCTCCTGGGCCCAATTCCCCCACAGCAACCAAAAGACAATGCAGTTAATTATTACATCATCCCAGAAAAGAAAGGAAAATAAGTGTGAAGTTTCTGCTATATTTATAATTATCAGCATAACAACTCTTATTAGCACTCTGGGTTTTCTGTTGCAGATTAAGGATGCTGCATGTGTTAACTGGTTCTCAGCCTGAAGGACTTTGTTATTTCTTGGAAAGAAGGAACTCCAGCATCCTATACTCTCAGTGTTTATTTGTCTAGCAATGTCTTTTATTTTTCCTTCATTTTTAAAAGGGTGGTTTTTCTGGATATAAGGTCTTTTACTTCATTTTCACTTCTACCACTAGATGACGAATTTCCAGTGCCTCTTCCTGCCAGCATTTCTGGTGGGAAGTTAACTGTTCATGGTATTGAACCTCTTGTATATAACAAGCTGTTTTCCTCTGGCTGCTTCACAATCTGCCCTTGTCACTCAACGCTGGACTTTAAAACAACTGGTTCTCAGTGTTGCTCTGTTTCTATTACTGTTGGTTGAGTGTCTTCAATATGAAAATCAACCTTTTTATTCATAATTAGGGATATTTCTCTGTACTTTTCCTCCTTAATTCTCTCTCTGATACACTCATTACATGCATTTTTATGTGTTTAGTAGCATTCCCAATCCTCTAAGCTTTTATTCTCTTTTCCCATTATTGATCTTCAGGTTGCCTAATTTCTACTGGTCTATATTCAGCTCTGACACTTTCTTCTCCTAGTTGTTGCTGTTGTCTTCTTTATCTTTTTTTAAATTTCTATTCCAGAATTTCCATTTCCTCTTTTTAGTAATATTTTTAGCTTTATTGATATGTACTACTTGATTATACCTTCCTTTATCTTGTTAGACATAGTGTCTCCTAGCCTTTGAATATGTTTCTAATAAGTGCTTAATTTTTTTTAAGATTGATTTATTTATTTGAAAGAGTTACACAGGGAGATGAAAGGCAGAGAGAAAGAGAGAGAGAGGTCTTCCATCCGATGATTCATTCCTCAGATGGCCACAGTGGCCAGAGCTGTGCTGATCCAAAGCCAGGAGCCAGGAGCTTCTTTCGGGTCTCCCACATGGATGCAGGGGCCCAAGGACCTGGGCCATCTTCTACTGCTTTCCCAAGCCATAGCAGAGAGCTGGATCAGAAGTGGAGTAGCCAGGTCTAGAAACAGCACCCATATGGCATGCAGCATTTCAGGCCAGGGCGTTAACCCACAGCACCACAGTGCCGGCCCCTTTAATAAGTGCTTTCAAGCTCACCATCCTATCACCAAGATCCCTTTTAAGGCAATTTTTATTCCTTCCCACATTTTCCTGTGTGCAGTTCCCATTTTATGGCAGTTTTACTTTTATTAGAAGCTGAATATTTTAAATACCTTTCAGCAAATCTGGACACTGATAAACCTCAGGGAGTTGTTTCTGCCCTTTGCTGATTCGTTTAATGACTTGATTGAATTATTTATATTTTAATTTAATTTAATTTAATTTTTTTAAACTTTTATTTAATGAATATAAATTTCCAAAGTACGGCTTATGGATTACAATGGCTTCCCCCCCATATCGTCTCTCCCACCCGCATCCCTCCCCTTTCCCACTCCCTCTCCCCTTCCATTCACATCAAGATTCATTTTTGATTCTCTTTATATACAGAAGATCAGTTTAGCATACATTAAGTAAAGATTTCAACAGTTTGCTCCCACACAAACATAAAGTGATAAATAATAGATGATTTTTTAAATGATGATGAAATCAGATCAGACCTATTGTCATGTTTAATCCCAGTGAGAGTCAAGTTGGGAATTGATAATTTCTTTTTTTTTTTTTTTACAGAAGATCAGTTTAGTGTACATTAAGTAAAGATTTCAACAGTTTGCACCCCCATAGAAACACAAAGTGAAATATACTGTTTGGGTACTCATTATAGCATTAAGTCTCAATGTACAGCACATTAAGGACAGAGATCCTACATGAGGAGTAAGTGCACAGTGACTCCTGTTGTTGACTTTACAAATTGACACTCCTGTTTATGGCATCAGTAATCTCCCTATGTACCAGTCATGAGTTTCCAAGGCTATGGAAGCCTTTTGAGTTCACTGACTCTTATCTTGTTTAGACAAGGCCATATTCAAAGTGGAGGTTCTCTCCTCCCTTCAGAGAAAGGTACCTCCTTCTTTGAAGACCTGTTCTTTTCACTGGGATCTCACTCACAGAGATCTTTCATTTAGGGTTTGTTTTGTTTTGTTTTGTTTTTGTGCCAGAGTGTCTTGGCTTTCCAAGCCTGAAATACTCTCATGGGCTTTTCAGCCAGATCAGAATGCCTTTAGGGCTGATTCTGAGGCCAGAGTGCTGTTTAGGACATCCACCATTCTATGAGTCTGCTGAGTATCTCGCTTCCCATGTTGGATCACTCTCCCCTTTATTTATTCTGTCAGTTAGTATTAGCAGGTACTAGACTTGTTTATGTGCTTCCTTTGACTCTCAGTCCCATCATTATGATCAATTGTGAACTGAAATTGATCACTTGGACTGGTGAGATGGCATTGGTACATGCCACCTTGATGGGATTAAATTGGAGTCCCCTGGTATGTTTCTAACTCTACCATTTGGGGCAAGTCAGCTTGAGCATGTCCCAAATTGTACATCTCTTCCCTCTCTTATTCCCACTGTTACATTTAACAGGGATTGCATTTCAGTTAATTTTCAACACTTAAGAATAACTGTGTATTAATTACAGAATTAAACCAGTCATATTAAGTAGAAGAGACAAAAAAACTACTAAGAGGGATAATGTATTAAGTTGTTCATTAACAGTCAGGGCTATGCTGATCAAGTCACCATTTCTCATAGTGTCCATTTCACTTCAACAGGTTTCCTTTTTGGTGTTCAGTCAGTTGTCACCGATCAGGGCGAACATATGGTATTTGTCCCTTTGGGACTGGCTTATTTCACTCAGCATGATGTGTTCCAGATTCCTCCATGTTGTTGCAAATGACTGGATTTCGTTGTTTCTTACTGCGGTATAGTATTCTAAAGAGTACATATCCCATAATTTCTTTATCCAGTCTACCGTTGATGGGCATTTAGGTTGGTTCCAGGTCTTAGCTATTGTGAATTGAGCTGCAATAAACATTAAGGTGCAGACCGCTTTCTTGTTTGCCAATTTAAATTCCTTTGGGTAAATTCCAAGGAGTGGGATGGCTGGGTAGAACGGGAGGGTTATCTTCAGGTTTCTGAGGAATCTCCAGACTGACTTCCATAGTGGCTTGACCAGTTTGCATTCCCACCAACAGTGGGTTAGTGTCCCTTTTTCCCCACATCCTCGCCAGCATCTGTTGTTGGTAGATTTGTGTATGTGAGCCATTCTAACCGGGGTGAGGTGAAACCTCATTGTGGTTTTGATTTGCATTTCCCTGATTGCTAATGACCTTGAACATTTTTTCATGTGCCTGTTGGCCATTTGGATTTCCTCTTTTGAAAAATGTCTATTGAGGTCCTTGGCCCATCTCTTAAGTGGGTTGTTTGTTTTGATGTTGTGGAGTTTCTTGATCTCTTTGTAGATTCTGGTTATTAACCCTTTATCTGTTGCATAGTTTGCAAATATTTTTTCCCATTCTGTCGGTTGTCTCTTCACTCTCCTGACTGTTTCTTTTGCAGTACAAACTTCTCAATTTGATGCAATCCCAATAGTTGATTATGGCTTTGACTGCCTGTGCCTCCCGGGTCTTTTCCAGAAATTCTTTGCCTGTGCCAATATCTTGAAGGGTTTCTCCAATGTTCTCTAATAACTTGATGGTGTCAGGTCGTAGATTTAGGTCTTTAATCCACGTTGAGTGGATTTTTGTGTAAGGTGTAAGGTAGGGGTCTTGCTTCATGATTCTGCTCGTGGAAATCCAATTTTCCCAACACCATTTATTGAATAGACTGTCCTTGCTCCAGGAATTAGTTTTAGATTCTTGATCAAATATAAGTTGGCTGTAGATGTTTGGGTTGATTTCTGGTGTTTCAATTCTGTTCCATTGGTCTATCCATCTGTTTCTGTACCAGTACCATACTGTTTTGATTACAACTGCCCTGTAGTATGTCCTGAAATCTGGTATTGTGATGCCTCCAGCTTTGTTTTGTTGTACAAGATTGCTTTAGCTATTCGAGGTCTCTTGTGCCTCCATATAAATTTCAGCACCATTTTTTCCAGATCTGAGAAGAAGGTCTTCGGTATCTTGATTGGTATTGCATTGAATCTATAAATTGCTTTTGGGAGAATGGACATTTTGATGATATTGATTCTTCCAATCCATGAGCATGGAAGATTTTTCCATTGCTTGGTATCCTCTTCTATTTCTTTCTTTAAGGTTTTGTAATTTTCATCATAGAGATCTTTAACATCCTTGGTTAAGTTTATTCCAAGGTATTTGATTGTTTTTGTAGCTATTGTGAATGGGATTGATCTTAGAAGTTCTTCCTCAGCCATGGCATTGTCTGTGTATACAAAGGCTGTTGATTTTTGTGCATTGATTTTATATCCTGCCACTTTGCCAAAATCTTCTATGAGTTCCAATAATCTCTTAGTAGAGTTCTTTGGGTCCCCTAAATAATCATGTCATCTGCAAAGAGGGATAGTTTGAGTTCTTCCTTCCCAATTTGTATCCCTTTAATTTCTTTTTCTTGCCTAATAGCTCTGGCTAGAACCTCCAGAACTATATTAAATAGCAGTGGTGAGAGTGGACATCCCTGTCTGGTACCAGATCTCAGTGGAAATGCTTCCAACTTTTCCCTATTCAATAGGATGTTGGCTGTGGGTTTTTCATAGATTGCTTTGATTGTATTGAGGAATGTTCCTTCCAAACCCAGTTTTCTCAGAGTTTTCATCATGAACGGGTATTGTATTTTATCAGATGCTTTCTCGGCATCTATTGAGATAATCATATGGTTTTTCTTCTGCAGTCTGTTAATGTGGTGTATCACATTGATTGTCTTGCGCACATTAAACCATCCCTGCATACCAGGGATAAATCCCACTTGGTCTGGGTGGATGATCTTTCTGATGTGTTGTTGCATTCTATTGGCGAGAATTTTATTGAGGATTTTTGCATCTATGTTCATCAGAGATATTGGTCTGTAATTCTCTTTCAGTGCTGCATCTTTTTCCGGCTTAGGAAATAAGGTGATGCTGGCTTCATAGAAAGAATTTGGGAGGATTCCCTCTTTTTCGATTGTTCTGAATAGTTTGAGAAGAATTGGAGTTAGTTCTTCTTTAAATGTCTGGTAGAATTCAGCAGTGAATCCATCTGGTCCTGGGCTTTTCTTTGTTGGGAGGGCCTTTATTACTGTTTCAATTTCTGTCTCAGTTATGGGTCTGTTTAGGTTTTCGATGTCTTCCTGGTTCAATTTAGGTAGGTTGCATGTGTCCAGGAATCTATCCATTTCTGATAGGTTTCCCTGTTTGCTGGCATACAAGTCCTTGTAGTAATTTCTGATGATTCTTTTTATTTCTGTGGTGTCTGTTGTTACATTTCCTTTTTCATCTCTGATTTTATTGATTTGGGTCTTTTCTCTTCTTTTTTTAGTTAGTTGGGCCAATGGGGTGTCAATTTTGTTTATTTTTTCAAAAAACCAGCTCCTCGTTTGGCTGATTTTTTGTAATGTTTTTCTTGATTCAATCCTGTTGATTTCTTCTCTGATTTTAATTATTTCTCTTCTCCTACTAGATTTGGGTCTGGTTTGCTGTAGGTTTTCTAGATCCTTGAGGTGAATTGAAAGCTCATCTATTTGGTGCCTTTCCAATTTCTTGATGTAGGCACCTATTGATATAAACTTTCCTCTTAACACTGCTTTTGCTGCATCCCATAAGTTTTGGTATGTTGTGCTGTTATCCTCATTTACTTCCAGAAAATGTTTGATTTCTCTTTTGATTTCTTCTATGACCCATTGTTCATTCAGGAGCATGTTGTTCAATCTCCATGTGTTTGTGTATGCTCTAGGGATTCCTGAGTTGCTAATTTCCAACTTCATTTCTTTATGGTCTGAGAAGCTGCATGGTATGATTCTAATTCTTTTGAATTTGCTGAGACTTGCTTTATGGCCTAGTATGTGGTCAATCCTAGAGAAGCTTCCATGTACTGCTGAGAAGAATGTAAAATCTTTAGCTGTAGGATTGAAAGTTCTGTATATATCTGTTAGATCCATTTGGGCTATAGTGTCGTTTAAATCTACTGTATCCTTGTTGATCTTCTGTCCTGTTGATCTGTCTATTTCTGAGAGTGGAGTATTGAAGTCCCCCAGTACTATTGTATTGGGGTCTAAGTCTCCCTTTAAGTCCGTTAACAAATCTTTTAGATAAACTGGTGCCCTGTAGTTAGGTGCATATACATTGATAATTGTTATATCTTCTTGTTGTATTGATCCCTTAATCATTATATAGTGCCCCTCTTTGTCTCTCTTAACAGTTTTTGTGGTAAAGTTTATGTTGTCCGATATTAAGATGGCTACGCCCGCTCTTTTTTCATTTCTGTTGGCATGGTATATCTTTTTCCAGCCTTTCACTTTCAGTCTGTATGGATCTTTGTTGGAAAGATGTGTTTCTTGTTAGCAGCAAATAGATGGGTTTTGTTGCTTAACCCAATCAGCCAATCGGTGTCTTTTAACTGGACAGTTCAGGCCATTAACGTTCAATCTGACTAATGAAAAGTTGTAACTTTGCCCTGCCATTTGCCAAAGATAAGTTCTAATATATGCTTTGAATTCCCTGTGATCTTTTGCTGTGAGGTTTCCTTCCTTTACCTTCTTTCATACCGATGACCGTGTTTCTGTGTTTCTGTGTGTAACACATCTTTAAGCATCTTTTGCAGGGCTGGACGAGTGGCGACAAATTCT